AAACACGATATAAAACTGAGATGTTCATAGGCATACAGCCTAAAGACGTCTAGTTTTCATGTCATGAGGACATTGCCTGTCAAGGACTTTGTGTATGTGTGGGGCGGGGAAAGGGGGGGGGGGTAAATATGAAATGTTTTTCTAAAAGTAAAACTCAGCTTTATCGATTTTCCGACGGACAATGAGAAGACATGTGAAAGACCGATACAGGACAGGGTGATTCATAAGAGATTACGTGGTCTAGAATTTGCGCAGTACACTTTATTTTTTATTTTTTATTTTTTTTTGGTGGTCACAATGTGATCTTCAAGGTGTGTAATCTAACGTCTGTTTCTTTGTTGTCTTAAGCTCTTCGGATTATTCTGTGGAAAACGAACTTCTTAGAAGGTCACGCTGTTTAGCCAAATGAATCCGTCTTGCAATGCGGACAAAAAAAACATAGAAATTTGTAAGCAGGTGCACCAGTTGATAACGTAAGATTATAGGTCTATATTTTTGTTTGTTTGTTTGTTTTTTGTGGGTGTTTTTTGTTGTTTTGTTTGCTTTGTTGTTGTTGTTGTTGTTGTTGTTGTTGTTTTTTTGGGGGGGTGTTGTCTGTCGTCTTCTGTTACTGTTTTATTTTTGTTTATGTTATTCTTTTTTTTTTTTCTTTGGTTTTTGGTTCGTTTGTTTTTTTAATTTCACAATACCTTTAAGAGTATGCACCATTCATTTATCTCTTCACTTTTTAAAAATTACTTCCTCTAGCAATTTTTTTTTTTGGGGGGGGGGGTTCTTTCTTTTTTTTTCAGAATAGCACAAACAAGTGCATCAGCCCAATAAAGGCCATTCAGTGAAGAGGGGAAAATGGACAATTGTACGAGCAAAAACTTTTTTAAAAAGAAAGACAAGAAGTATGACCGCTTGTACTCTCCAACTACCAACTTAAATCTTTTCAAAAATCTTTGGAGGGTGAGGGAGGGGCGACTGTAAGAATGTCACGGAGATTAAGCAGAGGAGTCCTTTGGGGTCACACACCAGTGGTACAGACTTAGTAGTAATGTCTCAAACTCCAACAGAGGGCACGGTACGCCAGTGGATGATTCAGCAGTATTTTCTTGGGCGTGTCTCACAACACCTGCTGGCACACTGACCTCATTATGCAAAGGACACAACATTATTCAGAGCAAGTGCAAGACGGAGCCAAACGTGAAAGTCCTACTTTATGTGAGTCCAGAGAGTTTCGTTCAAAAATCTGAAAGGACTTGCAAGAGTTCTGTAAGAATATGATACCCAAAAAAAACAACCCCATGTCACGATTTATTTGAATTAGAAGAAGTTCACAATATGCACAACTGTTGAGGCGGAACTGCACCAGTGAGTCTACTTTTTGACTCCCCGTTCTTTCTTCTGTCTGCCCATATTATGTGTGCGAGTGACACTTTTCTTGTCGATATTGATTTTTCATTTGTGCAAACAGATGATTCATGATTTCTCTCTCTCGCTCTCTCTCTCTCTCTCTCTCTCTCTCTCTCTCTCTCTCTTTCTCTCTCTCTCTCTCTCTCTCTCTCTCTCTCTCTCTCTCTCTCTCTCTCTATCTATCTATCTATCTATCTCTCTCATCTTTCGTTCCTGTTCACGAGGACAAATAAATCGAAATTTAAGGCTATCATCGAACAAATAGGAAGACAGAACACTGGTAACTTGCCGTAGTGGTGAGAAAAACAAGAGACACTCGAAAAGAACCGAAGGATAGACATGAACTGGAACCTACCAGTGACACCTTCCAACTTCCAACTACTAACATCGAAATTCTTTGTTGACAATAAGAATAGTAGAGCTTCGATTTGCCCGAGCCGAATACATGACAAAATATGACAGATTTGTGAATGTATTTTTATTACAATAAGTTTCATTGGGTTTTTTAGTTGTTTTTCTGTTGGGTTTTTGGGGGGTGTTCTTTTTTTTTTTTTTTTTGCTGAAGGTGTTTTTATGCCCCAGTAGACACAATTTAAATAATTTAGGAAGCGGGCTTTCAACACTACCTGTCAGGGTCAACCCGGGCTGAGGGGGATATACCATCCCAGCTGAAAGACCGAGATACTCAATAAACATTTTCTCCCCATTCGAGAATCGAACACTGGTCTCTTGCGTGTTACAGCGAAACGCCAAATGGTAGCCCCCGGCCCCCAAAAACGTACACAATGGGAGACTTCCAGAAGACGTTAGTTAATCAAGTTCTTGTACTTCAGTACTTTCGACTCGTGCGTCGTGTTTGAGTCACTCACTGGAAAGTTCATCGTGTAGACAACATCCTTAGTAGGGATCCCATGACAGTAATAATTAATTTGGAATTGATTGTGGTAGTAGCGAAAGAAAAATCCCGAGTCAGATCTAATCTGAGATAAAAGTGTAGAAAAAGAGGCTTACGCTGACATGAGAACATTTTGATTCAAATGCAAATGTAGGTTCTTTTGTTTTAGGTTTAGTAAGGCTTTACGGCGCTCGCAACTGTGTACGGTCACATGAGCGCCAAAGGGTGGATGTCAGCAGAGAAATCCAAACGGTAGGGCTGGGCAATGGGTCGCTTCAGCAATAATATAATGATAGGTTAGTGCACCTCTTCGGCAAATAATATGATATAAACCGCTTCGGCAAATGAGTTAGAACCACTTCGGCAAACGGGTCAGGAAAGACAGTTAACTGAATTCGAATGATATTTCTTTGAGAATTCTCCTGTTACCCTTATAGATTATCCGGATTTTGCCCACCTCTACCAAACGGGGAATCAGGCTTACTCTGCTCACCTCTCTAGCCTCAACAGCACAAAGTCAGCTTCGACTATCAAGGCATCCCGGAAATAGCAGTTCACAAGAGAGTGATAAACATACAAAAGAAGTAGACGAAAAATGACGATAGTAGGGAAGAAGAAAGAAAAAGCAGCAGTTCCCCCTATGTTGTTCTGGCACAGTATGAGCATGACAAAGATAAATCAGCCCATTTACTATTCCACTGCGCATAAGAACATGCTAATATGTTAATATCACCCCGTTGCGAATGGCTTAAAGACACTTCAGTAAGTAGCACTGCCCTGGGGGGAGGGCGTAGGTTCTTTAACAGTAGACCTAGATGAAACGGACTGCCTTGTGTCTTGGTTGCGTTTCTTGTCATCCTATATGACATCATAATTTTGGTCAGCCTTGTATTGAAAGTTATAAAGGGGCTGGTTTCAATTATAGAGTTTCCTGTTGACTCGAGCAGTCAGAGTAAGCGAGAGGCTTAAAGGGGCAAAATCTCGTACTTTGCTTTTTACAGGATGAGGTTAAAAGTCGTTCTTTGTCCAAGACCTTAATTAAATTTCCCTGATCAGGATCACAGATCAAATACAATAATATGAATTAAAGCAATTGTAGCGCATGTTTGTTTTGTTTTGTTGGGGGGGGTTTTAAGTGACGTCAAAGACTTGTCATCCTGATGATCTGCAATTGTCAGCTGAAGCAAAATTAATTATTAAGTAATAGACACTGAAACAACAGTACAATCAGTGGCGTTCTACCTCCCAGCTCTCGCCATTTTTCTTTTCCTCTGCCTTTCCCAGATTGTCACCCATTGTCTTCCCTGTCCACTCTGCGATGTTGTCCTCCCATCTTCTTCTCTGCATTTCTCTCTTTCTCTTTCCTTGTACGGTTCCTTGTAGGGTTGTTTTGGAAAGTCCTGAGGTTCTTATGACATGCCCATACATTTTCTGTTTCGTCTCTTTACTGTAGTCAGTAGATCTTCATGCTGTCTCACTGCGTTTGTGATTCTGTTCCCTTACTCAGCATTTGAAATGTGGTCGTTGTATGAGATGTCAAGAAGTCGACGGTAACATGTCATCTCTGTTGTCTGAATCCTTTTCAACAATCCTGCTGTCAGTGTCCACGACTCACAGGCATATAAAAAATTGAAATAATGGTCGCTTACTGCTGGACAGAATATCATACGAACAACATTATGTAGGAAGATTGTTTATTCATTTATTTTTACTTTGTTTTGTTTTTATTTGTATTTGTTTTTATTTTGTTTTGTTTGTTTGTTTGTTTGTGTGTTTGTTTGTGTGTTTGTATGTTTGTGTGTTTGTGTGTTTGTTTGTTTGTTTGTTTGTTTGTTTGTTTGTTAGTTTGTTTGTTTGTTAGTTTGGGGGGCGAAGGGTTTGGCTGGTTTTATTTTCGTTCTATTTATTGTTGTTGGTTTTATTCCTTTGTTTATTTATTTTTGTTGTAATTTAAGATAAAGTAATATATTATTTAATCAAACGTCTGTGACACTGCATTTTGTTTAGCATTGTTTATTATGGTGCTGCTTAGATGATAGGATACAGGATCATCAGATAAAGGAAAGCAAAGTATTCGATTTCACTTTATTCCGCAGTAATAATAGATCTATATGGGTTTGGGGAAATTACAGACCTCGGGGTGAAAGTAAGTTTAAAATCAATAACATTTCTAAAATGTGAAACAAGTAAATGTGACATATGCACATGTGTATCGATTGTGGCAACCGACCAAGATCTTTATCAAAC